TTCTCTTCTTTATATTATCTCTGATAACTCCTTTCGGGTAGTTGTGGTTGTCGAGTGACATTTTCAATAAGACGTTAGCGTTTTCTCGCTGGCCATTTGGTGTTGTTGTAATTCTGAGTATGCTATCTGAAAGACGTTGTATTAACCATCGTTTCACTGGTTCATGATAATCAAGGTATCTTCCAGAATGTGCAGTTTTTATATACAGTGTCGATTTTCTGCTGCCATCTGTCACTCTCTGTTCTTTGCAGTCTAACATTTTGAATTTTCTTGAAGTTCTAGTAATATTCCGTGACTTGCAGAGTTGACCGAGTTGTTTGAGAGAAAACATTCTCGCGTTCGCTCTCCCCCGTGAACCTCCGGTGTGTTTATCTATGGAGAACGGCGAAGAAATACTGTCTGCTTTCCAATAGTCACTGAAACCCGGTCAGTCCGTGATCCAACTTCATAGCCTACCTCCATCTCATAGTCATTGATTCCCTGCTTTAATCTGTCTTTCTGTCTCTCTCACTCTCTCTGATGTGAAAGCAATCAAAGAAATCAATAACTGGAGGCTTGTCAACTCTGTAATCTGGACACATGCATCATCAAGTTGATCAAGCACTTGGCGAAAACGTCTCTCGAAGGAGAAATTATATGACACTAATGAAATGTACAATGTAATGAAGCTGGAATTCCTAATGGAAGCTGAAATCATATTCTTCTCATACTTTCTCACGTTTCCATCAACATGACATTTGTAAACACAATGTCTCCAAATGCACTATCATGAATTCTGCGAATTTCAAGAAATCATCGTGTGGACTGTTTTAGGCGATCAATAATGCCATTGCATTCATCATCACCTTATTCAGCAAGAGCAATCGACGATGTGTTCACCGTATTATTGTAGGAGGAGAGCATACATGTTCGAAAGACTACCAACCAGATGTCACCTAATACACTGGTCAGTTGTGACACCACTCAGACTGAGTTTCGACATGACATCATTCTATTCAATCATGACCGCCATTCAATTTATGCAATTATTATTATTATTACAATTTGAATCGTGAAGAGTGTGCAGCGTTGTGGATTGTTGTGATATGGACACAAATGTCTACGATTCGCAGAGATCATGAGAAAATATCTGTGTATGTATGACACTGTCGAATTCTCTTCAGTTTTGAAAACCATGAATCATTTGAATCAGAGAAGACGTGCGAACCGGAACAGCGATTTAGCTATACTTTCTTACTTTAGTGCATCACGTTGGTGATTTCGAGATGACAGCGTTATGCTCGCAGTCCTGTTGTGACATTTTTCATCTACGAAATACTCATCATCGATTTCAAATCACCACAACATCAGAATTTAATCATCTTCACATATTCACTAATTAATTAATTGATTAGTTAATTAGTTAACTTCACTCTGTGTCTTCTACATTATGCTACACAACACTTCCATTCACTGACTTCTCTCTTCATATATCCTACGTTTTTCATTCATCTCGGTCATCCATCTTACCATTTGGCATACAGGCTGCACGATAGACAGACAGACAAACAGAGCAAAGAATGTTATCACTAGATCAATACATACGCACAAAGAGTGATACCCTCTGAAGTTCATGTCATCACTTATTAAATCAATACTTTTGTTTTATTTATTGATTCATTGAGCTCTAATAACGGAAGAGATGACTTTGTAAAATTTCATTTGCTCACATTAACACCTAATGTGTTCATTCAGTGTGTGTGAGTGTGTGTGCGTGTTATTTCCTTTTCACTCTCATTAGAAATGTGATTCCTCTCATATGAGAGAGAGAGAGAGATAAATCAAAGCATATTATCTTTGTTGGAATTTGGAACTGTGTGGAATGTTGAAATAATTTGTGAAATACAAATACCACAGCATTGTTCTGTTAGCGCAAATAATCAGTCCAGTGAATCTGTTAATTGTAAATTACACAGACTAATAGTAATGATAATAATAATAATTTCCTTTATTCCAAAAACAGTACAAATGATACAGCAAGGAATTTTCAGCATTCAGTACAATATTGCATTTAATTTACTCAAAAACGACAAAAGAACAAAACAGAAAAATAATAAAAATAAACGTTACATAATAATGATAACGAAACGTTGTTTTAGCAGCTATTTAGCAAATTACTCTATGCAATACGGAGAAAAATATTCATAAAGCATAAGATTATAGAAATAATAGTACTAACAACTAAAATAGCAAATAGCAAAGTTATAATTAAACGATAGAAAGAGTGACACCATAAAATTACAGAAAGATGAACAATGAAAGGGTCGATTCACTTTGCTAATTACATAGTAACTTATATGTTCCACGTCTAACAGAGTCTTCATCAGATAAAATACGGGCTAAATACGGTATTGTAGAATATTTGTACTACGTGGTTCGAGCATATAACTTCTTATATTGACTTCTCGTCCTACCTGATGAGATACAAGGGCATAAATTTCAATAAAGGGGGCGCAGAGGGTTTGACAGTGCGGTCTCTGCCCATTTTGTACAAGAATTTATGTGTCTCTCGACTATAGTATTGGCGAGCTCACGCAGTGGCGAACCACAAGGCCCACACACAGCATTTATTACCCTTCGTAATATGACATTGTCTTTATTAAGAAGCCCAGGGAAGATTAATGGAGGGCAATAGAGTACAATAGGTAAAATACAAGAGTTTACAAACTGCAGAAGTAAAAGTTGGTTGATACCTGATTGTCTTAACTTTTTAATGTAGAAGGTAAGACGAAACATTTTCTTAGACATTGATAAGATGTGGGATGACCATGAAAGGTCAGAGGAAAGAACTAATCCAAGGTATTTAATGCTTGACTTGGTTTCAATTTCAGTGCCGTCTATGCTACAGACATCATGAGAACTAACTAGTTCATGTATGTCACGTTGATGCTTGAAAGTGAAGTTAACTGCCTGACAATTGGAAGGATTTAACAGAAGACCATTTGACTTCGACCACTTGCTGATGTCCAACAGAAAGCTATTAAGTTTGGAGCAGTCAGACTCGGAAGTGTTATGCAGCGATACAGTCAGATCATCAGCATATTTGACAAAGTTAGTTTCGTTTCAGTGAGGCAGGTCGTGTAGGAAGAAAGAAAAGAGAAAATGAGAGAGGACGGTAAATTGAGGAACACCGGCTTTTGTAAGCAAAGCAGAAGAAGATTTGCCATTGTATGCAGTATACTGCATTCTATCAGAAAAATGAGAATGCAACCAACTCCTAGCCCAGGATCCTGTGTGCGTCAACGAAAGCTTATTTAATGAAAGGCCCCTGGGTACAGCGTCGAAAGCAGATGTGTAGTCCAGGAAAGCACCACGAACATATTTGGTACCTTTGTCTAAACAAGAAACAACATTATGATATAAGACAACCGCAGCATCCAAGGTACTTCTACCATGTTTACATGCAAATTGTTAAGGATCATTAGAAGGTTTCAATGAAGGTTCAAGACGAAGTAAAAGTAATTTTCCATCAATTTTGAAAAAGGAGAAGTAATTGCAATAGGCCTAAATTTAATATCAGTACCAGAAGACTGTTTTGGTATAGGGATAATTTCAATGATTTGGTTTATTATTCTCATGATTGAATGTTTCAAATGACTTGAAATCTATTTAGTGAGTCTATCTCGTGCGACAATCCTCCTTATGACGAGAGTTCGATTTAGTGTTTGGAATCATTTCTCACTCTCTTAGACAAACACGTGCAGAAATTTTGCTTTAATCTATTTTTGTTTCAATCCACACTTTTCGATTGGAACACGCAACTTCAAGCTTTTGAAGTCGTGATGGCGCTGATTCGGTGGGTTTAAGTTGATGACTTTAAGCCAAACATACATTTCTTTCCGGTCTTATGCAATCTAGTAAAGTAAATTGTCTGTTCTTGCAAAAATTGTTGAGAAACGATCTCTGACCTTCCCTTAGGATGGCCAGTCTTCTGCAATTGAATGACCGAATCACAAATCTACCTGTGAACACCAATCTGCTATTAAACAAGATTCACGACGTCTTCATGCGACGACTTCTACTTGACAGCCATTACTGGGATTCCTTCACTGCTTTCACAAACATTGATAAGACGAAAATACTCATTTTACACCAAATGACATTGCTCATTAATATTTCATGCTCCAACGAAATGCTCAATGAATCTTCTTAAGACTCCACAAACTAAACACTAACAACATCAGAGATCACACCATTTCACTGAAAACGACCGCATCTCTGTTCTGAGAGGGATTAGGTCCAGCCAGTAAGTAATACTTCTCTGTTTTTCTGTTCAAACTATAAATTCATAAATCCTGTACGATTATTCTTAGTTGACCTGACATTTAGTTCAGTGTTCTCACATTTATGCCTGCTATCACAGACGCATGTTTTAGTCTGAAATCTACTCATTTTATTGGTTCGAAGTTACTTGAAACACCAACGTTTTCAATGACAATAATTCTCTAATTATTATGGACCCATAAATGTAGAAGTCAATGAAGAAGTGGAAGAAGGAGGTGATGTCGGCGATGACTGTTTTCACACAGCTGATGGATGATGTGAGTTCTTGTCTTCAACAGGCGCTCTTCATTTGCTTTCAGTAGTTCCGTAATTATTTGAATTAATAATTGTCACGGTATACATCACAAGTTGTCTTGTTGATCTGTTAACGTGAAAGATAACACTTCGTCAATGGAAAACTGACATCATCACGACACTGTGCTTCATTGGTCCATATGCCGTTGAAATGTGTTATTTGATGAGAAAAGGGGGGATTCTACTTTCTATATTTAATACTCAGTGTTTATTACAATTTAATTCAATAGCGTTCATGATTGGTTGAAGTTCATTTTTGAATCTTAACGAACATGTCTGCCATTCGATTTCTCATCTTCCAATCAAATTTCATTTGAAGGCTGTCAGTAGAACACTCACCAGTATAAATACAGTTGGCTTTGAGCAGACGAATTAATCATGAGGCATCCTTCACTGTCGCTTGTCACAGTCATTATTGTTCTGCTTCACTGTGCCTATGTGGCAAGAGGTAAATAATGCTGAACCGTTTTGTGCAAATTTATCCAATTTTTTTCAATAGCTTCATAAATGAAATTTGTATTGAATAGTACGTGGTATCACACAGGTCTATTCTATGAAAATTTGACGGATCGTAAATTAGGAGGTGAATGTTGGATTTCGATAGGAGGCACTGTGCAACATGCAATGACATCCACATGTATAATGTCGTCTTAGAGATCTTGGATTTAGTCTTTTAATGTTCTATCAGCACTGTTTGTCCAACGAAATAACCATGTTTATCTCGAAATCACAGCTGGCGGTGATTCTTTGCACCACTCAATAAACCAATCTTCCACCCTTACAACATCAAACTTTATTGTTATTGTATTTCTTATGTTAATAATCCTCTCAATTTCTTGTTTTGTTTATTTTTTCATAAATGTGTACATAATTTAAGCTGTGTTATAACTGTTAATTTTGTGTTTCCCCTCACTTAAATGTATAAACAGAACATTAGATCCAATAATCTATAACATGCTAAAGTTTCCAAACTGAATCGACAATACCGTTTGAAACAAACTCACTGTTATCATTATTATTATTACTAATATTATTATATTTAATAATCTCAATCTCTCGAATATTTTTGACTTTATGTCGTAAATGTGAACAAATACCCTGGTTAATTTAGTCTTAATTTTTAATTTTAATTATATTTTGAGTAAATCAGATGCAATTTTGTGACAAATGCTGAGAATTAATTTCTGTATTATAAGTACTGCTTTTGGAATAAAGTACATTATTATTATTATTATTATTGGGAAAGCACGTCAACTGAACCTACCATATTCACAAGCCTCAATTTATCTAATCTTCTATTATGGGTAGACGGCTATGATACAGTGATTCTGAAGGTAATACAGAGAACAAATAAGCTGAGTGTTTCGATACCCAGATTATTTATACTCCCATCTTCCTTGTGTTGTATTTAAATACAGGCCAGAATGTTTCATCCACGTATCTATTCCTAATGTCTTTCTAGTTGGAGGATTTGGTAGCACAAAGAAAGCGGAGGTTTGCGTTGATCCTCAAAGTAAGTGGAAGTTTACATGCATTCTAATAAATTTGCAATACGTTTAGAAGATTGTAACAGTAGCAGTTTTAGTAGGAATGTCATCTCATTCCATTCCGTTTCTCTCATATCGTCTCAACAGTCAGAGAAGACGATTTCCATTCACGAAGCATTTTTCCACATTTCGAATACCCGAAATTGCCTGACCCATATTCCATTGTGTTTACATTTTAGAAACGAAGTTGTTGAAACGACAGGCTGACGATTTCAAAGAGATGGTCGACAGTTATAAAAGTGAGTAAGTTCATGTTCGCCTCTCCTTGAAATACTTTTTGCTCAGCAGTGAACAAGTCGGATAGCTTTGTCCATCGCAGATTCTTGCAAATGAAGCAAATTCAGAACTGAATAAAATCAACAGGTGTATTTGCAACTGTTCAATTCTGATGAACTGTACATTCAGGTTGAGTACAGATTCATTGCGGTCTGTTGTAAGAATATCACCTGGGATTAGTGTGTGTTTGAAAGCGTGACGCTAGCGTTAGTGACAGCTGACGTATTTTTAATATTAAGCGGACGCCAATTATTGTCATGGGGATTAGACTATGCATGTGAAGGATTCTCCGAAATCATGGAACAACGATGCATATTTTAAACTATGAAAACGATATTTCGGGAATGGTATACATTAACAACTTATATTTATTCACAGAGTTGAATGAGAGATATGACGAGAGAATAAACCATCTTCAAAGAATTTCGAAAATAATAACAGGTAAAACATGGAACATTCTCTTCATCTCATTTTCTACTCTTGTTCACGTTAACTCACTTTTATTCAAGGAAAGTGTTTTCACCTTTTGAACTATCTCTCTCTCACGGAGATTCACTTCCAACCACTGAAATAAACTTCGTCTTATTCAATAAGAAACGTGCCGTTTATAATTTGTCGCTTACGCATGAACAGAGCTCAGTGCGAAATCCGGTTAGATAGTCACCCAGCCTCAAACGAATATCAGTGAGTGAGCATGTAGCTTTTCGTTACGCAGTGGTCACATCTGGAATGAGATGTGAACAGAAAGGGAAGAATAGATATCCTCTGCGATCACAACTAGCATAGAACAAATGATTACAGTTTAACAGATTGAGAGAGAGAAAGTGAGAGTTAATTCATCGATTGTACATTCCTTACAAACTGATGCATTGTCAAAGACACAGAATATCAAAGGGAGTAAACTGACATTAAATGGAAAACTTATGCTGTTCACCCACCCTCCCCCCATATTATTTCGATTCAAACATCTCATTGTATTTTTTGCAGATGATATGAAAGACGCGTTTCCCAGTGACACAAAAAAGATTGATCAATGTAGGTGGATCATTTGTGGATTTCAATGAATTTACATTTTCAGATGTCGATTGTATAAACAGAAATTACAAAAACTATTACGAACCGGACTTCTTCAAGGGTTTGTGATTCATCTCTATTGTCATTCTATAAAATCATCCTTCTGATGATATTCTCGATGCAGTCATTTCACACGAAGGAACTGTCACGCTGATGGATTTTGTTGATCCATCTTACAGCCTTTGTCTACCTTGAAAACAGGCATTCACAACAACAATGAGTATCTGATTAACGTTTTATCCTACCTACTGCGGTACCTTATCTATCTGACTAGTGAGGCACAGTGCTGACATCCGTCTATTTCTTTGTTTGACGCCTACTCAACTCAGAAATAGGCTTACTGCATTGCAGTCGTTGCACTGACAGTGATTAAGAATCTAAAGAGTTAAATGTTTTCATAATTGTAAGCAAAGAAACAGGTGTTTCCCACGACTGAAATTCAGAACTCTACGGAAGACGAAAGATTATGATGATGCGATTCAGCATGCTTCGTCTAATTTCTCATAAATACTTGTATTCTCTGATTATGTACATAAGAATAATTATTGAAATTATTGCACGACGCGATTGTCGTCTATTGACTATCTTCTCCATCGTTTCATACACGATTTCAGTGACGACAGCGTCATTGCGCGTCCTCTTTGAGGAGTATGGTAAGCAAATATATATAATTTTGTCATGCAATAATTCAGAGTGAAATTTGAAAATGTAGTGTATTACGACTTAAAAGGTGCATATGCGGATCACAAACATATTCACCTTCACCATTGCCTACATCAAAATGATCGGATGTGACACGAATCGATGCGAAATGCGCTGAATTTTAGTGTTGAGAATATTGAGCATGAATTAGGGATTCTGCATCAGATTCTACTATTTTTCGCATAACCTCTGAAACTACATCCTCCGTTATTTTCGCAGGTGAACTTGTTCCGGACATAAAATGGACTTTCCAGCGATACAAACCCACATTAGAGGCACATAAAGGTTTGTGTTTCTTCAATCGAGGGCCATTCACTCTGTGATTGTTATAAATTCTGGTCTTATATAATGAATACACACCTCGCTCCAACAATCAACATGATTGGTGATAACCTGTAATCACTGTCGTCTGAACATAGATGAAGAAGGTGGATCATTCGCTTGGTGTGGCTGATGAATTTGATGGTCTCATGGTCACTACAGGCATTGAAATCATTATTTTGAATTGAACAGTAATATGTGAATGTCCTGGTTAGATATTTGATGGAAATACTTGAGTGATCTTGTTTGGTGGAGGAATGCTGGTAGATTCTATTTCTAAGTGACCGCATGGAAAATACCCTTGAATTTGAACACGATGTGCGCTGACTTGAAATCTTCAAGTGGAAACATAATCATTCATTTGTAAGTGGAGGTACATTCAACCATCGAGTCGTAAGCATGTCAGAATTGGAACCAAACTCTCTACTGTAAAATAACCACCAATATAATTACGTCAAGATAGTCTTCAAACACAGTTGGAGTATCTGCAATTGAAGACGACGTGTGAACAGAATAACAGTCTCCATCTTAAGAACAACTCATCTTTTACTGTATACCGATTTATCACTAACCTCCAGTTCACATACGAACACTCACACGGACACAAATCATTATAATTTCAGAATGGGCGAAAAGTACGTGAGTTACTACGTGATTGAATAACAGTTTCATGCACTCGAACATTCTATCGCACTTTGTGAACTCTCTCTCATTTACTATTATCCCTTATCTTGGTGCAGGCAGGACATATGGACCTGAATATATTGGATGTGATGAGTTCCGGCCATCTGTTTCTTCTCAAGGTATTTTTCGATCTGAAATAATATTCATACATGATTCTTTGTACTTCCATGCCTTTGTTTCATCAAGTTTTTTATATATTTGCAGGAATCACTCAGCACACTCCCGAGAATGCAAATGTAGTTATTGTCAGTGATGGGTGATGTGAAGCAATCAGGGAGACAGAATCCCACTTGACGCTTGAATTGACTTATTTGGAACTTGTAAGAGAAGTGAAAGTAAATACAGAGTGCTTGGATATTATACTATCACCCTGTGTGCATCTCGCATTCAGGAATAATTTTAAAACATTGAGATCACTCTCTTAGATGCCACTTACCTCACGTATGTTCCACTTCGTGGGTCTAAAGTGAGCGTTGGCATATTTCCTACTGGATTATTCACCTGCTTTCAATGGAAAATCTCCCTTAGGAGAATAAAGTTCATAGTGTCCCAGGAGAGAAGTATAATACTGCTAGATGATTGCAGCAGGCATTACTTCATCTTGAGTCAGTGGAATTCAACACACTATTTCACTAATCTTTATTTTGCTCTTCATTCACTGTTGTTTCTTGTAGGTATCAGAAGCTGGAATCTCTTAGTATCTCAAGCATATGACGAAATCACTACACGTGAGGAAATAAAAGGTTGGTAGAAAGTAAACCTTTTCTGTATTCATACGCACATATATATGCATATTTACGTATATATATATATATATATATATATATATATATATATATATATATATGCATAAACATATAAGATATTCATGATGGAGTCGGCAAACATCGTTAGATTATTTTGAAATACCAATGAATCCAAGTCTCTGTTGTAATTACGGATAACAACCAAAGTGACGCAAATGTCTATGGATATCCCATCCGAACAGCTGAAAAATTGACATCACAGTGAGCCACTGATACACATGAAACAATCTGGCAGCAATTTGGCAGCAATCCAAATCACGTGGATGTATCCTGATTTGAGGTTGTACTCGATGTTCTTCTATATGTCACTGGAGTTTACATGGGTAGCTCAAATTGAATATTTCATATTCTGCGTTGTAAACTGTTCACTCACACAGGATTTCAATCATATTTCAGCGTTATTGCCGATATATGAAAACCTCGCCGACAGACTGACGGTAAGAAGTCGTTCAGTGCACTTGTGTCCATCCTTATTCAGTAAATGTTTCTCAATATCCTGTCAATGTTTCCATTTGCATGAAACTTGAAACGGTAAAAGAAAAATCATGTCAGTCTGCTCAGCACTTGTCACATTCACACCAAAAACACTTTGAGATTCACAATATCAATAAGCATCTGCTACGAAGTCTTTGTCAACTGTATTCAACTCACTCACTGAGAACAAACAGAATGCGTGTCATGTGTATGGAAAAGCGCTGGCATAGCACTTAATCACTTCTCAAGATTCCGTTCAACAACAAGAATATTAGTGATCACGTCACTTGTAGTTGTCTTGTATGCAGCGAAATGCAATTTCACTGGGTTGTTATCGTGTGTTTCAGAGGTGTTTATATAATGAATTATCTATTCAGTCACATATGCGGTGCAGGTGTGAAGGTATTTTGATGAGACGAGGATAATGGTATTATGTGTGATGGGTGTTCATGTGATATTTTCCCGTCTGTCGTGATGTTGGTTGCAAGCATCTACACAATCAACTTTCCATGTCATCTGCTAACACCATTTTCGCTTTCTTTCTGTAGTCTGCTCACCAGTGGTTCCGGTCGAAAAAACAGTGTTGACATGCCTCGTATCATCTTCATTTTCTCGTGTTTTACCAATGATTTAACAGTAATTTAACAGCACTTGCCTTTCTATTTAATAATAACAATTCAGTAATCATTATAATAAAGTAATTATAACCCAAGTGTCACGTTTTCCATCGCTCTGTCCTTGGGTAGGTAATTCGAAGGGTTATTCAGTTGAATTTGTTCGGTAATAAAATTCAGTCTGTGTCTTCTACAATATGCTACACAACACTTCCATTCACTGACTTCTGTCTTTATTTATCGTACGTTTTTCATTCATGTCGGTCATCCATCTTACCATCAGCCATACAGAACTCAAGACAGACAGATAGACAGCAAGAATGTTATCAGTTACCGATACATGCGCACGACGCGTGATACCCTCTGAAGTTCATGTCATCACTTACTAATCAATCAAAAGTATTGATTTAATAAGTGATTTAAATCAATACTTTTGTTTTATTTATTGACTCATTGAGCTCTAATAACGAAACAGACGACTTTGTCAGATTTCATTTGATCACATTAACACCTAATGTGTTCATTCAGTGTGTGTGCGTTTGTGTGCTCCATTTCCTTTTCACTCTCATTAGAAATGTGATTTGTCTCATATGAGAGAGAGAGAGATAAAACAAAGCTTATTATCTTTCCTACGGTCGGTAGTAATTTGACCTCGAGTCACTGTCAGCTATCATGTCTCGGTTTTGAGATTGGTATGACATTCTCTCAGATAAGACGACTGAACTAAATTCGTATGATATTTGAAATAAGGATGTAAAAATTTGGAATTGTGTTCAATGTTGAAATGATTTGTGAATTTCAAATGATACAGCCTTGTTGTGTAAGCTTAGACATCATATTGTACTCAAATTGTCCTTCGATTGTGTCCGTGAGAACATCATAATCTCCTTGATTTATATTGCATTTACGTCAAATTTGAATGATTAATAATTTTCAGCGGGGCGATATACCTCCATTTTATTAACCAGCGTGTGATATCAACTGATCGGAATGCACTCATCGTATATTTTTATCCGTCTTATAGATATGAACTCGCATGAGAAACACTCACATAAAGAACAAATACCAGCATGGATTTCGATTCTTGTTGGCTGTGTGTAGATGTCCTATAAACTTGACTGCATAACTTAAGAAATACTAAGTCTGTCTTGAGTAAAACTGAACGATTATCCGTAATTTGTAACTTCCGTTTCACTGAGTGAGGTTAATATGAAAAGAAAACGAGTGACCTGTGACTGTCAGAATGTTCACTGCAAACAGCGGCCGACAAATACCCAGAAGATGACAACAAGAAGGACGACTACGATGATCGATTATTATGAGACAGAGTGTATTTTATACTTAATTTGCTAAACGTCTCGAACGTCACAAGTAATGATTGAAGAAATGTGACTGTTTGTTGGAAGATAAACGGTTAAGAAAAGACGGCGAAACTGTGTAATGAGGTTGAAAGTCATCCGTTCATGAAGACGAATTCTGCAGCCACTGGCTCAAAATAAATGATTGCGATTGTTATATGATTGCGATGACTTTTGTGCTGAAATGCATTTGTCCAGAATAGATGATTAGCAAGGCGATGTGTTAACAAAGCATCAGACACCACATCACTCATATAAAAGCGCTGGAGGAAGTGAGGATGTTTTGGTCCTTCACTGTAGACACTGATGACTGACAATATTCTTCAGGCTCTTGAATAAAACCCAAATGATGAGCGAACAGTTAGACGTCACTTCGAGGATGACGTGAAGGAGACTGTTTGATGAGAGAATGAAGGTTTATGGATAGTCGTGAAACTGGCTAATATAGATTGACGAGTACAGGATACAATGACAAATGTCAGTTGAGAGCTGCCGGTAGCTATTTGTGTAATCTTCGTCAGTGAATATTTCAGACAAATGTCAATTCTGTGACGTCATTCACATTGACTGAATTCATTCATTCTTTTGCACTTTTCTATTTTGAATTCCTACTCTCTTGAAACACTGAGGAGGTTCAACTCGTCTTTCATGGTTTGCCTCCTCCACATTTCCAAATAAAGTAAAAGTGTCAAAAAATGTCGATCATTTCATTGATTTTTTAAATTTTCTATGGAGGTCATTCCGTTTATTGTGCCTCAATTTGTTATGATTCTCATGTTGAACTTATTCAGATGACTTGAAATCTATTTACCGACTCTATCTCGTGCAACAAGTCCTCCTAATGACGAGAGTACGATTTTAATTTTGAAATCAATGCTCACTCTCCCACACTGACAGGTCTAGAAATTCTGTCTATTCGTTGTTTGTTTCAATCCGTCCTACCTCCACTTTCCAAGTGGAACACACAACTTCAAGCTTTTGAAGCCTTGGTCGTGATGGTGCTGCTTTTATGCTCTTTGGTTTCTAATAATACATGAAATATTTCCTTCTATCCAGGCTTGTTACTATCTAGTAAACTGTACTTATTGTTCGAATGTGACTGTCGAAGAAACGAATTCCGACCTTCCCTTTAGATGGCCAGTCTTCTATAATTGAATAATTGAATCACAGATCTAACTGTGAACAGCACTCTGCCCTGAAACCAGATTCAAGACGTCATCATGCGACGACTTCTACTTTACTGACAACGCTGCGATACGTTTACTGCTTCCACAACCATTGATAAAACGAAAATGCTCATTTTACACAAAATGACATAGTACATTCATATTTCATGCTCCAACGAAATGCTCAAAATCTAATTCATGAATATGTTTCCTTTATTCACAGATTTCACTCAGAGTTTTGCTTAGAAAGAGAACGATTTAGAGGAAATTTTGAAGACATGACAAGGTCAGATGAATCCAACTCTATTTCCCTGAAGCACTTACTTTAGCCCAGCCTATTCCCGGAAAGTTTCACCGTTTGTCAACAAACGGAGTGTTTTATCACCATCTGTTCCGTTTCGCTCACTGATGAGCAGAATTCAGTGTAAAACCCAATGAGATATTCACTCAGGACAAGACAAAGCATCAGTGAGTATTGATACCAAAAGTACTCAGATTGTTTAGCGATGACGATCAATCGAAATCCCTTGAGTTGTTACTGACACTGTGTTGTGATTGATTATCTGATTTGCTATCACTTGTGGAATACAGCTGGCATCGATAGCCTGTGAGCACAGATAATTCATCAATGAGTATGAATAAACTTCATGAAAATGCCACAACTTTCTCAATCAATACACAGAATCTTGATTCCTACATCTCTGGATGTCAATTTCAAAATATAAGCATCGGCGCTCAAATGGAACCAGACTCACAGAATATTCCCATACAACTGCCATCGTTTGTCCACGTGATTGGCAATAACTAATGAGAGGAGTTGACATATACTCACATCTAGTGTAACTTCACAGAAACACGCTCTTATATTTCCCTCATTTCTAATGCAATGGCGTGTTCTCATATATCATCAAACTTTAGTCAAGATCTTATCTGATTTCACTTGTTGACCTCATCTCCCCTGTCCACTGAGCAAGGAGCAGATATTCACTAGAGAACAGGGGTTATGTGAAAGGTAGCCATTATGTTCTAATCTGGTATTCTGCAGCTGAAGGCAGGTGAAGTCTACGAGGGTCTGGATTTATTACCATATTTATGCTAAAAACTAAAGAGCTTACCACTTAGCACTCAATTAGTAATCGTGAAGCCTGGCACATGTTATTCACTCGCTGATATTGTGAGTTATGCTCAGTTTGTATGACTATTTTCTTTCAATTTTGATGACAAGAAATCAAAATCGCCCAATTACATCGTGCGATGATAAACACGTGCATGTGAATGATGTTTGCTTAACGAAGGGTTTGACCTGAATATGTATCACGCCAGAGTGGTAATCATGAAGAATACTATCGACCAGAAGTCTATGGCGGTTTCTAAATTTCGTCCTGCATACATTTGTAGTGTCACCTGCCTGTTGGCTTCTCAAAGACGTCATTGTCTTCTGCAACTCTCACAGACTTGATTTCTCATACAGTAATATTGACCAGCTGGTCTAATTTGCAAGTAAAATAATACCACTCTGCTGTGAACAGCACGCACGCCGGTGCATGTGACACTCCGTTATTTTTCCAACCAACCATTGCATGCAATGACCTTGGCGGCCTGTTTGAATATTTTAGGCTTGCATGTTCCCTGTACATTTTGCATCTATTTACTCATATTTTGTTGGTGTTTACATTTAAAATTATGCATTCCAATCGTATCATTCACTCTCGGGATTACATAAAATGCTTAAAACCTAAAAAATTTCATATTTGCATAAACTGAAGAAAAGGCAATAGGGAGGTTGGCAACGTGCTTTAAAATCTACACCCATACATCAAACCACTGTTCCGGTTATCATTAGTACTAACTGCTGGTCGCTGCCTAACAAAATCCTGGATTTTCAGTCCCTGTTGTTGTCCGAAACTAATCACAATACTGCTATCATCACTCTACAAGAAACCTGGCTCCATGACTCATATGATGACAATATAGTGTCTTTAAATGATTTTCACGCATTACGACATGTCCGTGTTTGTTCGAATAAAAAATGTGGCGGAGGTGTTGCAACTATTATTCACTCAAAATGGTCCATTTCTAACAAAGTTTGCTTCAAATTCTCGAATGACTACATTGATTGCATCACTGTGAGATGTCGCCCGAAACACTTGTCAGAATACAAATTCATTTATATTTCTAATGTTTATGTCTCTCCTGGCTGTACCATATCGGATTATTCTATGTTCGCAGATGAATTCACCGCTTTTGCTGCAGCTTGCTTCGAGAACTCTTTATCAATAGTGACTGGCGATTTGAACTCATGCGATCACTCCTTCCTTATATCACTTGGTCATGACAATATTGTTAACTTTGCTACCCGTCTTGGTAAAACACTAGATCTTGTATTCATCAATGATGTTGGTATATATGAAGCTCGCAAACGTGCTCCTGTACTGAACTCTGACCCCTGCATCATACGTGTACTGCCTAAAATATATTCCAAATCACACAAACGTGTCTTCTCTCACCTCTACAGTAAATTTCAATGGAGATGCTACTCACAAGACAACCTAAGCAAGCT